TACCACTTTACTAATGAAAAATTTTGAGCCTCGATAAAATCTGTCACTTCAAAAATAAAATAAAAAGGTTTGATATAAGTTTGAAAAGTTTTTCAAAATAATTAAATAACTTGGACGAATGATGTGCAATGAACATTTGATGATACTCATTGAGATGGTTGCAAAATGATGGGCAACTTCGTTGGTCTTTCATAAGCTGATTTGTCTAGTATATAAAGCAATGATGTATAACAATTTGGCCTGTTTTTTTGTTTGTATTATAAAAAAGTTTCATGTGTGTGATTTACATTTTGGATGTTTCACTTAAAAACCATGTATTATTTTTATTCCAAAACTTTAACTTTGATTAAAATATAGAGGGGATGATAAGTAGTACAATGTACACAAATCATTTAGTCAATGTAAAATTATGTTTACCTTTTCTCAATATATTCAGAAGGTTTCCTAATCACAATAGTACCTAATTCATTAATCTGTCTATAAAAATACATTTGTCCTATCATACAAAAAGGAGAAAGAAATAAATAGGTGTATCTTGTGTGGTTCGATGAATACTTATTACTGACGAAAATATTTAACTATAGTTTTATGAATGAAAAGAATTAGATTATTTTATGCATATTTATGGTAAATGAAGTGTATAATTTAAATTATTTTGACTTTAAAGTAAATAGTCCATGGCTTTGTTGAGGAATTGGATCCTCTTCCCGTTTTATACCAACGCACTTTAGAATCACTTAAAAATTGGAATTGGCTCTCATTCTCATTATAGGGAAAATAAATTTAAAGCCATGTATTGAGAAAACCATGTTATCCAAATAAATATGTATTGACATTTTGACAAAAAGGAGGGTGAGCTGATCCTGATTGAAGTGAACCCGCATGATATAGGAAGATCATTTGTCCCATATTTCATGTCTCATTATGTCCCAGCCCAATAGAAAATTGACACATAATTAAAAAGAAAATTCATAAAAATAAAAAGTTATTCTTTTATATTATTTAGTGAAATTTGATTGATTTAGGACAGGGTGACAGAAACATTTGGAGACAGAGAATCTCAATTCCCCTAACAGGAGTTTCAGTAGTTGGGGTAACATAACCTCTCATAGTTTCATTTGCCAATCAAATTGCCATAAAGATTAAGGGGTGGCTTACAATAGTGTCCCACACACTTTTTGATCCAACCAACATCCTCTTCATTAATTAATGTTTGTTTTTCTATTTGTTTTTTAAAATAATTATATAATTTTATTATAATTAAAACGATAAATATTTTATTGAAAGTTATATTTATATTTGTTTTATTAATAAAGAGTGTCCTAACTCTTTTTGGCTAGTTATAAGCATGGATGAATCAATTTATTAAGAGTATATATATACACACGCTGTTATTGTTATTGTAAATATTTATACATAATTAATACATTATTTATCATTAGTTTAGTATAACTATATTCATCTTTTTCTCACTCGTTGATTCTTGCATGGTTAGATTTACTCCACCCCTCTAAATATTATAAAGCGTATTTATTTGTAAATATCAGTAAATAAATAAAGACTCTGTGCAAAAAATGGTTCAAATTAAAGTATGCATATCCTTTTATTAAATTTATTAAACTATAAAACTATTTAATTTAATTATAATCACATCTCAATCGTCAAACGAATTTCTTCAAGAATAGAATATGTCATAATTTCTTAGGAAATAGACAGTGCTGCCACAAGTGAAATATTCCACCTCCATTTGGTGTTGTGGAGAACATAAGTTAGCTTATGATTAAAAATTAATGAGAAAAGATTCTATATTACTATGAGTTTTTATATTATAAGTATATTATTTATCTTTCATTTATTTTTGTTGAATTTTAAATTAAAATATAGATAATAGTAGATTTAGTGTATAAAAAACTGATATAGTATTAATGCTTAAATTTTATACTTAAGATCAATAATGACAGAAAAATCCATTAATTTTGAATATATATGATTTAAAATATGAGAATTTGAGGTGAGAAACTGGTGCTAAGGTGGGGCCTGTTTCACCTGTTCCGACATGAGGAAGCGAAGGACACGACCATGTGGAACAGTGTCATTGTTCAAAGTGGCAGCAAATAAATATTATATTATTATATTATTATATTATTATATTATTATTAAATGTATTCGGAGTTAGGCAAAGGTGATGCAGATTTGATAGATGATGAGCAACTTCATCTGAAACACTGAACTAATTATTGACCATTTTTCATTGGGCTGCCTAACTTTGGGGAGTAAGGATGGGAATGTGAGGATTATATCAAAATACTAACATTAACGTTAATTATTAGATAATGGTAGGGTCCAATGATATTTTTTGTTTGATAGCCAAATTATTTGGAAATTACAATAAACTCCAAGTAAACTTGGGATTAAATTAAAGAGTTATTTAAGGTGATAAACTAGATTTATATTTTTCTTCCATAAAACTTTAAGACAAATCAATTCTCTAACTTTTGGATCAAATAAAAAAGGAGAGGTTCGGTTCACTTAGTAAGTTTAACATCATAGTTATCAATTCTAGGAAAATCTAATAGTTTATATTTACTCACTAATTTAAATCATTAGATTTTTATAGAATTGATGACTGTGAAATAAGTTTTTTTCACTTACTCTTTGAGTAAGTGGATCATTTCCCAATAAAAAATGAGTCATCAATTCCACTTATCCAAATGGAGATCATATGATATATAGTTCACATTTCACTTTTTGTTCTCATCTAATTAAAAATAAAAATAAAAAAGAAACTATATTTTAATATTATTTTATGAAGTTTGGTTGACTATGAGTTATTTTTGAACAGATGATCTTTGTTCCACTTGTTCACGGTGGTTTAAAACATTCACACAACTTACTATTGTTTTGTTTGTGTGTAGAGATGGCAAAATGGACCATCAAATGTCCGCAAAATTTACGCGGACGCAGGCATGCCCATATTATATTAGCGGATAAAAATTGCATGCTCCGCCCACTTTAAAACGGGTTAACAAACATGCAGATGGCCCGCATACATGTATAAATAAAAAAATTCATACAATATAATAAAAGGAAATTAAAAATGGTTGTTGAAGAGATTTTTTTTAAATTTTTTGATATTTTATATGAAATTGAACAAATTATATCACATCACACTTTTTTAAGACATTAAATCACATCATATTATCATTTATTTGATTTTTTTCTTATTTTTTCTTTTACATCATGCTCGTGGGCAGCTCACATTGCTCATAGAAATGGCCATGGACAAGACGGTCATGGTTAAACGGGTAAATGGATAAAAAAAATTATATCATGCCCACAAAATTTTGTGAGATACATGGGCGAGCCCGAATAGGACAAAACTTAGGTAAAGTACCATAGGTGCTAGTGATACAAGTGGCCTATTAGAGGATGACACGTGAACATTTTTGTTTACTTTCAATGTCAAAATATGATTAATTGTAAATCTAATAAATGTGTATGGGGGAGAGGGTTGATTCAAATTAAAAAACCAAATGATAGAAGATAAATTACATATTAATTAGGTAAAAAAGAGCATCTCAAAAAATAATAGAAATATTCCAACATAAAAGTTGGTCATATAAAAGTGTATAAGGTTACACATTGGATATGAGAGATTAGTGTAAGAGTTTATAAATTGCATAAAACTATGAAATAATGATTATTTTAAAGTTTTGATTCAAGACGTGATGTTTCACTTATCATTATTTATTCTTCGCATTCCCCATTACAATGGAGGTCAGTCCAAACAACAAAAAATAGTGCACATACACATGCCAATTACTTTATCATGAGAAGAAAATTAGGATGATGGTTTTATTGTGTTTGGTGGATCAAGTTTATTGAGATTTCCGGTTAATATAGTATGACGAAAACGAAGACTTTTAGGCATAGAAAATATGTGACACAAATATGAATGTTGGAGAAATATAATAAGTTCCTCAGAGAAAAAAACAAAGAGAATTACTTTTCATATAACAACCAAGCTAATAATGGTAATAGAAAAATGAAGTTTGCTCCTCCTCTGTCCTTTTCCCATGAAAGGAGAATTTATGTAGTATATTTATTGGGTAGTTAGGCACCCTGAACTACTGATTAGTTGATATTTATTTAGATGAGAGATTTATATACTTAAAGAGTAAGTTTTTTAAACTTACTTCCAATCTTAGCCATTTTAGATCTACTCACTAATTCAAACCATTGAATTTCCCTAGAATTGATGGCTAAGATGTGAAATAAGTTTAAAAAACTTTCTCTTATAGTAAGTGAATTCTCCCCCATTTATTTATATACTTAATTTCACACTCTACTTTTGTAACTTCATTAAAACAAAAATGTAGGCAGAAGATGATGGTGGAGCTTCCGTTCAATGGTCCTCATCCATTGAAATTAATCAATGAATTATTGTCCAAATCATGTCACCAATGGATTAAACAAGTCTAAGTTTTTTATTTTATATTTTTTAATCTTAAGTAGTGCTAGCCTTTTAGTAGTTTCTGTTAGATAACCATTAGGTTAATAGATAACAACCCTAATAAGTGGTAAGGGTGGGGTATAGTTTATAGTTGGTCATCGTCACCAAGTCTCCACTTTCCAGCCTTAAAAAGTTGTAACAATGAATGAGCTATACATAAGTATATTAAGGGTACATAAATATGAAAGTAATAATACTACTGGTCATATTATATAGGTATCATCATATATATGAAGGGGTATAGTGGTCAGTGGTCCTATTTACTATGGTCATACAGAATATTTATTCCATAGAGTTCACTAGTCATTTGAGATCCTGAAATTTGCAGCATTTGAACCAGTGACATGCTCATATGATAATAAACATTGGGTTTCATTTGATAACCACTATGTGATGCATAGGAAATGCCAACACTGTTGTGAAAATTAATAGTGCAATTGATGACTGAAGAACCTAAAAAACAATTATTAATATTAAAAAGTAAAATTTGGCCCATGCAGGTCTCGAACCTGCGACCTTCGCGTTATTAGCACGACGCTCTAACCAACTGAGCTAATGGGCCAATTATTAAACTAAGCGAAATAAAGATATAAAAACAAATTCTCTTTTAAATGCATTAGATAGTGACTATTAAGTATCCATTTGGCATGAACCAATAAAGATTGATTTTGATCCAAAGATGTGTTGACCAATTTAAAATTGACAAACCAAGAAGAGTTGTGGGCTTCTGGCTAATAAGAAGCAAATTTACTAGTCATGAACCCCTTATGATAATAGCAAATTAGGAATAAGAGTAAATTACACTCACACTCCTTGAATTTTAATGAAATTACACAAATCACTCTTCTTAAGTTAAACAAAATATTGTATATTGTGTAACACTTCAAATAGTACAAAAGCGAGTGTTTCTTTATTATTTTTATGTCATTAAAAATATATAATAAATTTCAAACAAATATTTAAATAACTCTTATACTATTTTATAACGAGCCAAATAATGAAGACGCATTGGCTCTTATATTATTTGAATTTGTCTACACAATATACAATATTTTGTTTAATTAATTACACACATTATACGTTTTTGTTTAAAATATTACACTTTTATATCATGCAAGGGTAGTTAGTGTAACATATGTACAAAATTAGGGGTGGTTCGTGTAATGACAAAAAAGTGAGGGGTAGTTTGTGTAATTTCACTAAAACTCAGGGGGTGTGAGTGTAATTTACTCTATGAATAATGATTAAGAATAGTTATATTTTTATTATAAAAAACATAGTACTAATATTACCAGGACCAAACCGGATAGTTTCACCAATATAAATATAATTGCTAACCGAATTTGGAAACAAGATTTGTGGTCTTAATCAAATGAGTAGTTTGACAACTTTGAACTAAGGAAAATTCACACCACTTGGGACGGATGAGGATCACGTGTCCCAAAATGGTGTCCTCATCCATGTCCCGACCAATTAGAAAAAGAGAGAGATATGCAAGAAGAAAAAAGAAATGCAAGTTAATGGATTTTTTAAATGAGATTACGATATTTTATTAGTCGGGACAGAGCTGAGACATCATTTTAGGATACGTGATCCCCATTCACTTTGGACTACATGACAATTTTTTATTTAATAAAATAAAAATGAAATAAACAATTAATTCTAATCAATCTTTTATTGAAAATTTTTTTGATTGAGTATATACATTTGTAACATATTTTTTTGGGGTACTACTATGCTTATTCTATCACATTTTTTTTTTGATAAGGAAATAATATTTTTTTGGGATGGGAGACTGTGTATCTTGATAAGTGTCTTTCATATGATTATCAAACCTTTAATATTTTGATTATCCTAAATATTTAACAAAATCTTATATCATTAGACTAAGACTTTATTAGTTCTTTGTAATTTATACGAGAGACTATTTACATAGTAGAAATATATACAATCTTAAAAACAACAAAACAATTGATTAGTCAACAAAAACCAATTAAGTATTGTAATTGCAGTTTGAATTTAGGATACTTACCCAATAGAATTTTTGGTATTCACGTGTTGATGTCATTTTTTATTACATTATTAATTTTCTAAATTTCATATAATAGTTAATAAAATCCTCCGAAGATTATAATCTAGTCTATTTCATGCTCTAGAGAAATTTATCACAAAATAATCTCTGAAATATATATTTATAATCAAAAAATAATCTTATCACCGTATGACAAAATCATTGTCCACAAATAAATAAATCTCGTGTTTGAATGCGATAATAATCAAATATTATATATTTAAAAAGTATGTATTTAATGTTTTCAATATGAAGTCACATAACAAATTACATATTAATTTTGATTAGATAGTAAAGCATATTCTTATATCGGGAATAATTTATCCCTAATTACCAAAATAATGATATATGTCTTATTTATCCTTTTTACAAAAATATTTTTTAAAACTAAAAAAAAAATAGTATAAATAAAATGTAAGCCATTCAGCCACGTGTATAGCATTGATGGAGTGTAATTCTACTTGGGGTAGATTTATTTTATCCTTAAGAAGATATATCTTTGATGGCAAATTGTGACCCCACATAATCTTTCCCAAGCCATCAAACTATGAAGAAATGGATTTTATAGATAACACGCTGTACAATGGATAAGCCAAAATGCATGCAGACAGTCCGATCCCATATGCCACTAGGAAAATCAACGGTCAACTAGACAGTAGGAACTCCCTAAGAAAAGTACTTAAGAAAGCAGGCAAATGCATACATTCATATAACTCTAGCTATTTTTTATATTCATTTGTCACAATCACTGCTTGGCTTCTTGATTGCTAACAAAAATGGCCACCCTCACTGCACACGCTTTTGCCACCATTTTGAGGCCATGTGCTTCTAAGCCAAGGTTCTTGAATGGTAACAGGGATGTGTCTGTTAGTTTTACACAAAGGAAGACTGTTTCATACACATCATCCTCCAAGGCTCAAGCCAGGGAAGCCGAGTGGTTGCCTAACTTGGAATCCCCAGATTACCTCACTGGCAGGTAAATTACATTAACATACTTTCTTTCTTTTTTGATCTCAGCAAATGTTAGTTGTTAGTATGTTAGTATTTGTTGTGGACGAGACTCGACTCGAGGACATTAACATACTTTCATATATCATAATATTTAAAATGCACTTGGTTATGATTATATTAAGTTGTTGATATTGGTTTTTGTGAAATAAATACACTAGTCTTCCCGGTGACAATGGATTTGATCCTTTGGGATTGGCGAAGGAGCCACAGAACTTGAGGTGGTTTGTTCAAGGTGAGCTTGTGAATAGTCGTTGGGCTATGTTAGGTGTTGCAGGAATGTTGGTTCCTCAAATCATCAACAAAGTTGGTGGTACCAATTTTCCTGAATGGTTTGATGCTGGGAAAGAACAATACTTTGCATCATCCTCAACACTGTTGGTGATTGAGTTCCTTTTGTTCAATTACGCGGAGCTCAGAAGATTGCAGGATATCAAGAACCCTGGAAGTGTTAACCAAGATCCCATCTTTAAGCAATACAGCTTAGCCCCTCATGTGCTTGGATACCCTGGTGGCTTCTTTAACCCCTTGAATTTGGAACCAACATTCGATGCTAAAGAGAAAGAACTTGCCAATGGTAAATGCTTCTTAATCATTATATTCTCATTGCTACATCTAATTAAGCTGTTATTTTTCATAATGAAGTAACATTGTTTGTATATGTATATAGGGAGACTAGCAAAGTTGGCATTCTTGGGAAATGTGGTTCAATACAGTGTAACAGGGAAAGGACCATTTCAAAACCTCTCGGACTTTATCTCAGATCCAGTGCACAACAACATTTTCCAAAACCTTGGCCACCACTAAACCTTGTAATCAAATGTCATGAAAGCTTCTGTTGTTTTCTTGTGATCCTAATGGACAATGTTTTTAGATATTTGAGCTTGGTTTCATGTAATACCCAACCTCTTTTACGTACAGATGAAATAAGATGTTTTAAATTTGTTATTTAGATTCAGGCCCACAGCTTATGAGTTATATATTTCACCTCAAAAACATTTGTTAAATACAATTACATTGGAGTACCAAAGTAAGTAAAATTACTTTCATTCTCTCCAAAATTCAGATTTTACAACACAGCAAATTTACAATACAGCAAATTTAAAACCTAACCAATCAATATTTACAGAAATAATTATAGCAATTAAAAACAAAGAGAATGAAATTAAAAAAAGATACATAAAAATAAAAATCAAAAGAAAAAAGTAGCGGTAAACGTTTTTTGATTCATCCCTCTTCATTTATTCCGTTTTTTTTTAATGTGAAGCCATGTGTTGGAAAATTTCATCCCACTTCTTCAACAAGCACAGTACACCCTTAGCTCCTACATCCTTTTGGGCTTGAGCTTCATTCTCAATTTCTCATAGAACTGTGAATTGGAGAAGCAACTCATATAAATTGGTATTTAATGATTTGAATTTTTAGATACATAATGCATTTTTTTATCTTTTAATTGTACAAGTTACAAATCATGTCTTACAATTATAATGAACATTTATTTTTATTCAATCTATTTCCAGTTAGCTAAAAGTTTCTACCTCAACCAATCAACCTCCGCCCCTTTGACTTTATTGTAACATAAAATATATGAACAGTAGTATAATAATAACTCTGTTCTATTTCTTTCCATCCTATAGTATATTATTCATCATTCATATTTAATGAAATCATCAAATATATGAAGTAATTGGGCCAGGTGATTGAGTGTAATGTACTTTGAGTAGATTTATTTTATCTTTGGAAGATATATGGCACATTGTAACCCCACAGAATCTTTCCCAAGCCATCAAACAAAGAAGAAATGGATTTTATGGATAAAAAGCAGCAGAATGGATGTCAAAATACATGCAGGCCATCCGATCCCAGATAACAGTAGGTAAATCAACGGTCAACGAAACACAAAGAACACCCACAGAAAAATACTTGGAAACCAGCCACATGCATAATGCATAGAACAAAAATCCAAGAATCCTAGGAGAATAAATTCCTTTTTAAAAGACGACATCATTAGACATAAAAAATATTATAATATTAAATTAGGACGGATTTCATGACTCCAATAATAAGTTTTTCCCCAACTATATTAAATAGAGAAACAAATAACCATCATAGATATTCGCAACTACAAATCACCATCCTCTTTATGAGTGTTGATGTCCCTGTCAAAGTCATCGTCACTTGCAAATTATATAACCAACCAATGTAAAATTGGAAATTGAGGAATATTTGAAAGATTAAAATTTGTTAGTGAAAACAATTTGATCATTCCTTAGTCTTCGTTTTGTGGCATAGAATTAGAGTGGATAGAAAATAGTAAAATAGATTGAAGAAAAAAAATAGAGGTTTTCTCTGGTTATGAAAAGAGAAAGAGAAGGTAGAGTAAGAAAAAGTAAGACTCTTCTCCGAGACGACATTTTTGTTTATTAGTATAATTTTAAGGATAAAATTATAATATTAATGTAAATTAAGAGTATAGGTGTAATTGTCATTTGAGTTTTTC